AAAAGCCACTGGAAATAAAGGAAAAGTTGCTACAAAAACAAACAAATGTTAAATAGCCAACTATCATGAGTTTTCTTGAAAAAAATTGAGAATTTTTAATTTTTACATTGTCGTGTTACTAGTATTTATAAATATTTATGTAATTGAAAGTAAAACTTATCACGTCTGATATTAACAGAGTTAGTTGAGTGGTGAAATAATAGAATGATGTAGACTGAGCATGATTATTGTATCCTTCTCATATATTTTAGTTTAAACAATAGGTGTGATGACAAAATCAAATAAAAATTACTTAAGCTGTTGGAACGTTTTGATTTGATGATTACAATATACAGATAGTTTTTTATGTGCAGGTCTGAGATAATTTAACTTACTCCACATACAAGAGTTGGGTAACTATATGACAAAGTTGCATTATTTCACGCATTTAATACATCGCATTTGGTAAATCACTGAATCAGTGTTCAGCATTGTGGTGACCGAATTTAATTAACAGCGGCGCGAAATTACATTTGAATAATTTGAATTTGAAAAAAAAAATCGTTAAACATAGGCAACTTGGTGCACGGATACGCTTGCTTGGTAGTCGGACAATTTAGCGTTAGGGCAGCATGGCGTAGCGTCAGTCTGAATCTGCTTGTGTGAGTGTAAACACGTGGTAAGAGCTAGGTTTAAATTAGTTGGTTTGGTAGTTAATAAAATGGGAGGAAGCCTTTGTTTAACGACATTCAATCATAGCCAACGTCACTCAGGTGTCCCCAACCCGCGCGGTTATTCTTGCGGCCTTTTAATCGGAAAAATGCGGACTTCCGTTCAACGCGAAACACGTGCTGTAAATTTGTTTCATTGCTTGTAAATTCACCAATCAAGTTAGTTTTTCTTAATCGTCCGCTCGTGCTAAAACAATTTAACAATCAGGATTATTTAAATAAACCACTTGCTAGAAGATTTCATCAAATTCGCTTAGTCAGGAAAACACCTTGTTGTTTAATTACGAATAGGTTTCTGGATGCATATACGTAAGTGTTACATTATAACACTTCTAAATTCTTCACACAAGTTTGCCAATAGTTCATTTACGGCAGTTAAACAAGTTCATTATTCTGTGAACTGACGGGGGGGTAAAATAAGTCTTCCCTTAGGTGGTTATCATCGTTATTATCATCGTTATCATGATCACATCACTGGGGCATGCCCTCGCAACGCCATAGATTGATTAATGCATCGAGGCCTGCCCTCACAACACTACAGATTGATGAATTCATCGAGGTATGCCCTCACAACGCTGCAGATTGATTATTTCATCGAGGTTCGTCCTCGCAACGCTAGAGACTAATAACATCAACGATGCTTATTCCTTCCACCGCTAAAATATACATCATCGAGGCATTCCTCGCAAAGATTTAAAATTTACATCATCGAGACGCTTTTTCCTCGCAACGATTTTAAAATATACATCATCGAGACGCTTTCTCCCTCGGAGCGATGATTGGATATTTTTGTGTTTGTTCATTATGTGTTTTGTTGTGGTAACCAGTTCGCGGTATTAATTGTTTTTTTGAAGTAACCAATCACTTAGATCATGATATAATTTGACATAATGTAAACTCTTTGTTTGAATCATTGAAAAAGTGTGGCAAATATTAATATCATGTAAATTTTGTTAACTCTCCAAATTTTCACCTCACACAATATATCTTTAAGCTCACAATTTTAACCTCAGTAATTTTCCTTGGTTGTATAATTGTAATTGAACGTAAATTTCATGCTCTACAGTTTTAACCTAACATAATATTTCTATTTGTACAAGTTCATTTCACACCAGATCTTTTATTTCATAAATCCTTGCTAAGTTTGTTTTGTAAATACTTTGTTGATGATTGTTTCTATCATATAAATTATTTGATGTCCAATTTTAATCTCACATAAGAATTATTTGTTGTTCAAAATTTTACCAGATTGTATGGCGAATTTAAATGTTGTTTATTGCTCGTTTTTAACACTTGTTCAGTTGTTGTTATATCAGAGTTATACGAGATTGAACATTTAAAAAATGGAATTGAGGTTAAATAACACAAAACGTGGCAGAAGCGAAGTGCGGTTCCTAGTCTGGCTGGCGAGATTTATCCTGTCACCTGTACACACAGGTTTGGATAGATTGAGGGGCGGCCGCCGATGTTGTAGTGCTCTCGACTTGGACCAATAGTCGAAATCTAACTGCGAGTCTGGTGACCGTAATGGCCTAGTTTCGCACAGCATGATCGTAATGGAGGTGCGTGCGGGTAGGCTTTGCGATAGATAGAATCACCGTTGTGGGGGGAGAACAGCCCCAGACCGGTAGCCCCAAACTCCGCATGTGCTCCTGTTAACTGCCGTAACTTTAAAATCTGCCGCCACTCGCCCGTAATAACTTGTGTATTTGCATTCAGTTACTTAATTCAGATTTTACTTTGTTTTTATTAAATTTGTGATATGCAAATATTTGCATTGATTCCGAACAGATGTATCGAATTTTGTGTTTGTTCGTTTGTGATATGTGTATGTCTGTCAATTCGCGAGTGTTTTTTCATATATCTTAAGGTGTTTGAAATGTAATATATCCGTGAATATACGATAGGGGGTTTTTGTTTTGGGCTGGGGGGTAAATCCCGCAGTTTCTTTCCTCCTGCGAGGGGTGCCGCGCTACCCCTCCAAAACAATTTTGTCTATTATTTCTTGCGCTCTTAACTCACATGCAGTATATGCTCACTTGTATGAAAGAACGTCTTCCCGCCATTTTTCAAAAAAAAAAACACAACGTAGGTTCCCATTTTTTAGACGATGACAGCCAAGGCCAAACTTTGAATTTCTTTCAAAATTTTTCAAGGTCAATTAAAGGCGGGAAGTTTGGGTTATCACAGCATTTATTTAACAACTAAAAATACTCGTTTTAATTTATGTCAACTTATTTTATGTAAGTTCTGAAGGTGTAAATAAAATTTTGCGCCTTACATTTGGGTTGTGGTGACCAACTTTGAATTAAAATTAAAATACGGAAATTTGTGGGTAGTATCTAATTAGTGAAAACGTTGGTAGTGAAGTTCGCTTGTTTGCTAGAGGGTTGAGAGGCGTCACTGTTGTTTGTTTTGGTGTGGGTAAAAGGACACAGTAAAGTAGCTAGACGCCGCCACAGTTTGCCCAACAAGCGTAGCTAATTGACAACTCCTTTCAAGCGTGTGTGTGAGAGAGATATTTCGAAAAAGAGATAACATGCTCTACCCGTAGGGGTTCAGTTGGTAGTAAAGTTTCATGTTTGGTAGAACTGCTGTTTTTCCAAGCGGAAATATGCGAATTTTCGACCGACGCCAACACGTGGTGTAAATTTAATTTGTTTTATTGTTTGTAAATTCACAGTCAATGTTAGGATTTTAATCGTTAACTGGTTCTAACACAATTTAACAGTCATGTGATTGTTCAGATAAAGCACTTGCTAGGAGATTTCATGAAATTCACTTAGTCCTTTGTTGATCAAGTTATATATAAGTTTTCTAGATGTTAATTTAATAAACTAATAATGTTTATCAATAAACATTTTTGCTGCATGTTTGGTTGCATAACTCATATTTTGAATTTTCAGTAATTTAACAAAATTACAATCACCGGAAAAGTATTGTAAATAACTCGACTATTAATTAGCGATTAATAGTCTCGAATTATCGCCTTTATTAACAAACTTGTTCGTTAAATAGCTATAATTATATGTATAGTATATAATATTTTATACGTTATATGGTTCAATTTGAACAGGAATAGTGTAATATTAAACATAATAGGTAACAATGCTGCATACTTATTCTAATTTTCGGGAAAACGGTGAGCCGTAAGATGACATAAAGCTATTTAACGACACTTGTACTACTAAAGAAAATTTACTTATTTGAATCACAGATCTTATTAAACTTCAGAATTACTTTTCTTATTTATTTAAAATAAGAAAGTCGTGTGCCTATGTTGAACTAAATATGAAACTGATTAACAAAATTTACATAAATTTTATTGCTTGAATTCATATCACAATAATAATTATTGTCATTTTTCGTTTATCTTTGTTTTATTTTATCTGTTCACGCCTGGATAAGTCTGAATGGGTAACACATTTTACTTTTCATAAACGACTTCGTCTTAAATTTTTTATAAATAATAAATAACGTGTAGATGGCAATGACTGCGCCAAAATTATGACGAATTAATAATTTTAACAGTGAAATTATTTTCAACTTTTGGTAATAGTGCTTTCGCATTCCTAAAAAACCGATATGATTTAGGAAAATGTGATGAAACCATTCACAAGACTCGAAAAAGAAATTAAGAGAAGTTGATCAATTTAAGAAAACTATATAAAGTTAGACTTCCTACATTAACAACGTCCTTACGTGAGTCAACGACAAATCACAAGACAAATGCAAATTAGTCAGAGTTCGGTTTTTAACATCCAGAGGACAAACCAATTTCACCCATGCCATTTCAGCCCTTCCAATTCAAAATGAAGAGCATTTGCGTGGGTGTCGTATTCATATAACACCCGAGATTCTAATTAGACTACGTAGAAATTTTGACTGCAGTTAGAGCTGTGTCAAAAAGGATAAGGCAAGCAGTTTGAATACTTATTATAGGATATTTATTTATTTATTTATTTATTTTACTTTAGTTATATTCATTTAAGGATCGAATAAATTACGTTCTATTTTCTTTAAATTTTGCCATTATTAGTTGCTTGATGTCTTTGTTGTCATCATGACATTGTCTGATTTTTGTCTTGTTGCATTTAGTAACTATCATTGCTAATTTAAAAAGATTAATAGATTGATCAAAGTTGCTTATGATATGTATAATGTATTGCATACACGAAAGTATTCAGGCGTCTGATAAAATAATCTGCCTCTATGTACCAAAAATCAGAGTATAATATTATTGGTTGCATATTTAAAAAGAAAAGCAGATCTGTGTAAATGGTTGCATATGTGTGAATTTCAAAAATTCTGTGCCATAACATAACCTAACATAATTCAGCTGCTACTGCTAGTGAATTTTGTTTCGGTGTGCATTTAAGAATAATTTAAAATGCCTTATAAATACATTGGACGGAAAACTGATTTTAAGGGGAAAACTTTATGGGAAATAGTTGGGAATCTGAAAAATTTTGGTGTTGGGCGCGTTGTAGTCAGAAGTATGATGGAAAGATATCCTGAGCCCAGTTACTTCAGAATTTTAAAAGTAGAACCACTACAATGTCCACAAGTTCAAAGTGTTGATGTAACTACATTATTATTACATTTTTACTTTATATAAGTGATGTTAATTGCAGAATCTAAGGAAAGTTCGAGTTCTTGTTGAAAAAACTTTTAGAGGAATGACTTTTCCAAAGCCAGTCACAATTGAAAGAGCCAGCTATAAAACAGATTATCGATTATTATCTAAAGACGAAGAGGAGGAATATTGTAAGAAGGTGCTTCCAAAAGAAGTGCAAGTGTATCCAAACACGATGGATTTTCCACCATTATTGCAAGAATACATTATTCGAGAGAAAAAAACTAAAGGTGAAGATACTGATGTTGAATTAAAATTAGATATTGTATACAACAAGAATCATAATAGTAACTCTGTCAGAATAGCAAAAGATGGTGAAATTCCCACTGTGACATTTGATATCAATATGCGTAAATTACCTTCCATAAGTCTTTATAAAAATGTAAAAATGTAAATCTGCTATGTATTTATTATTTAAAAAGCTTATATTTTAATTCCAAATAATACTAGAAATATCACTCCAATTTTCTTTTCTTTCTGGGTGATTTGGGTTCATGTTCCAAAGATATTCGGCTATGAAGTTCACAGTGTTTAAATACGTATCTCCCTCCTTAAAGCACATAAAAAAGTCAAAGGCGCTAAAATTTAACAAAATCTACCGTAAAAATCTGGTTTTCCTGTTCTTTTATTTTATGAAGCATCTTTATTAAACCTGCATTGAGAACAGGGAAAAGTGTGTCATTTAAATAATCAATGGCAGGATCTGAAACAGGTTGTACATGATGTAAGTTTAGAGATATTGTAATTCCAAACAATACGAGGTGGAGGTTCTAGAATTGGCATCTGAGTGCGTCTGTACTCTTCAGCTGCATTTCTTTTATTTTCACTTTCCGTTATTAGTTCCTTCCATAGATGTCGATGGTTTTGAGGAGGTTGTATTTGTGAAGCAGGAATGCTACCTGTTGATACTGACATTGTTAAGATAAGAGCCAAAAGTTTAAAAGATTTCGGACTTTTTATGAAGTTAAAATAAATTGTTTTTGTATACAGAAGCCTACTAGATAGCGAAGAAACCGTTTGACATAATCATAACTAGAGTTCCTAGACAGTATTTAAATAAGGGTTAGGGGTTAATAAGTTCATGGCCGACTAGCATAAAGATTATGGCCTGTCCAAAGGTACCATACGTGCTGCCATCTATTAATAATTCAAAAACGACACAAAAATTATTAACACTTTTTGAAAGGCACAAAGGCATTCATACCGAAACAAACGACCATTACACGTTTTGAAGTCTCATAATGTCAAATCAAATTAAAATTTTACTAAATTATTAAGTGTAATTATCAACTAGCGGAATTGTGTTTCATACGCTCGATCCAGTGCTGTCGCGGCCATAGTTTGATTACAAATATATTTTTCTTTTGGACTATATCAACATAATATAACATTTCAAGATCACAAATCTGTGGTCATGTGTTTGAAAAATTAAAAAGGGCATCGAGTATTTATTTGAAGTAATATAGTAATATAGAAGTAGTTTTTTAACAAGCTGTAAACACTCCAAGCGACGCACTGGCTACGACCTTGTGGACCAGATCAAAGCGTCCCCGCTACTCGCCGTAAAACACACCTTGCTTCAACTGGGGAATTGCATCCGTAAGATATTTTTCCGCCCAGTGGTAATTATTAATAGATGGCAACACATATGGTACCTCTTGGACAGGCCATAATCTTTATACTAGTCGGCCATGGTAAATTAAATAGCGCGATTCGTTTTAATTGGTTGATCATTTTTTCCATGGCTTGTTTATTATTAGTTTTTTATTTTAATATTGTGATAACCCAATCTTCCCGCCTTTAAAATTTGACCTTGAAACAGTTTGAAAGGCCCGCGAAAAATTCAAAAATTCAAAGTTTGGCCTTGGCTGTGATCGTCTAACAAATGAGAACCTACGTTGTGTGTTTTTTTTTTTGTGGTTTTGAAAAATGGCGGGAAGAAGTTCTTTCATACAAGTGCATACACTGTCGAGAGCGCAAGAAATAATAGACAAAATTAGGAGCCTTCCTAAGGAGGAAAAAGAAACGAAGAACGACAGACGCTCGATTTGCCCTTCTGGCGAGTCCGCAGGGCCAAGGTGTCATCGGTCTTCATTCCCCAAAACCCCCTGGGGTTTTATTCACCGACATATTACATGTCAGACACCTTAAGATATGTGAACGAAAACACTCGCGAATTGACAGACATACACATGTGAAAACCGAACAAACACAAGACCTACACATATGTAAATTGGATGGCAGAACCCGAATCATTATGAGAGTGTGGCGACCGAACAAAATATAGAACAAAATATATCAATTTCATTTACGAGCACAGCAAAATACCCAGAGGGGGCGTTGTAGCGCAAGTAGAGGTTGGGACTCCTGATCGTCACTGTTCTCCCCCACGACGGTGATTCTATCTACACCAACGCCTGCTCACACGCATCTCTCCATTACGAACGTGCCCTGCGAAACGAGGCGGTTACGATCGCAGATCCGTAGTGGGGTCCCGGCTATGGACAGAAGCCGACAGCGTTAAAAACCCGCGATCGCCCCCTGAAGCTATACAAAACCCGCGGACTTGTGCAGGTGACGCGATTAATCCCGTCAGTTTGAGAAGGAGTCGCGCGCCCCACGTACACTACGAGTTATGTTTATTTACCTTAATTTCATTTAAATGTTCAATCTCTATGACTCTAATATTAAATTACAACCGAACAAGCGTTAAAGTTTCAACAAAGAGCAATACACAACATTTAAATTCGCCACACACTCTTACGAAAATTCAACAACAAATAATTCTTAATTGAGATTAAATTTGGACATCAGATAATTTATATGAGAGAAACATTCATCAACAAACCATTTACATGATCAAAACTTAGCAAAGATTTATAAAACAAAGATCTGGTGTGAAATAAGCTTGTACAAATTAAATATCATGTTAGGTCAAAACTGCAGAGCATGGAAATTTACGTTCAATTCAAATTATACAGCAAAGAAAATTACTGAAGCTAAAATTGTGAGACAAAGACAAATTGCATGAGGTGAAAGATTGTAAAGTTAACAGATTTACATGTGATTAATATTAATTCGTGTCCAGTCAAGTTATTGGTTAAAATTCAAACGTGAAATTATTTAGCTGCATTGTGGGCCATTATTACACATACATTTCCCCAAACAAAACACATAAACAAACATGGCAGACAAGCGGCAGTTGCAAAATGGCGTTGGACGAATTCGTCATTCCAAATAATAGGCGTCGAAAATATGCGATGCAAAAATACGATGAATCCTGTGGCGTTGTATAAACGATGTGCTAAATCCAAAGAATAAAGGCACGTCCCCCCATGACCCACAATGTTGTTATTTTGTTCAATAGATTCAGTTAAAACATGTGCTCGATTAAAAGAAACAAATGGACGCTTCAAAATGGCCGCTGCCTGAACAAAGAACGGTGAAAATAACAACTCGTTTGCCGCCATCCAAAATACAGATTTCACAAATATAGCTAAATAAAGCATGGCCCGAACTAAAAATCACTTCCTGTAAAGCCCTACTGCGATGGATTTTAAATGAAAGATAAAAAAACGAGATTAGTGGAAAAAAGGCGCACGCGTCGCTGTGTCACGAAGTCAGAAGTATCGTCGGGGCTTGAAACTCGCCGCGAAACAGGTGTTCAAAACATACCTCTCCAAAGATGCGAAGATTTCGACACGGCTTACCGCCAACAGGAACACAAAAACCTCGTCGTAAGAACGATGAGAAATCAGGAACACCCAATGGCTCAACGGGGCTGCTAGGTTTTCCAATGGAACAGATCAACACTGGAAAAACAAAACACAACAGCAAAAGGCACAGAATAATTCACAATTAAAAATACAACCTGTTGCTCGAAGCGCTCGAAAAGAAGTGGTCTGTTCTCTCCAAGCGATCAAAAGGAAGTGGGTGATCTTACACGAGACAAAAACACCCTAACATTTGCGCATGTCTGTTTCTTTGGGGTTGGTTGCCAACCTTCTTTTCTTCTTCTCACCAACTGCTTCTTGCGCGCGCGAAATTCATTTGAAATTTAAAAATTCGAATTGGATCCTTACAATATGTATATGTATATGTCAATTTAACATTCATTGCCAATCTAGAAATGACCGGTTGTAGCATGAAGGGTTGTAAGCATCAAACAGAAGATGGAATTGCTTTTAAATTAATTCCTATTGTCCTTCCTTGTGGCTAAAAAACAAAAATATAGGTAATACCAGGTAATACCATTCAGGCGTGGTTTATAACTCCAGAGAATGGAGGTAGTATGAGTCATATTACCTCCTTAAAAAAAAATTTAGCAGATGGTCCCCATTTACTAAAAAATATTAAACAATGTTTGGTGCAAAACAAAACTATTCACTTAGCGCTTATTTTATACAAATATATAATTTACCTTGTGACGTAGTAAAAATCTAACACATCAAAAAATGTTTGTACTGCCATAGCTGAAAGTGATAAATAGCATAATATGACATTGGCGAACCGCAAATTTTCTTGTACGATCTAGACCCGCAAAACTGACATAACAAAGATTAACATAAACGTATACATAATGAGAATGCATATAACTTTCATATATTTAACAACCCAAAGTACAGAGTCATCAAAATTGATTGAGAGAGTTGGTAAACCTGAACTTGAATAATTTGGTTTATTAAGTTGTATGAAAATATTAGCTGTCAGATTTGAAGTTTCAAGTTTCAAATTTCAAAACTCAGTGGCGTCTTTTTTCGACTTTTTTTTTTGGTGAAAACATTAGTTGTCAGATTTGAAGTTTCTAATTTTTGTCACGCCCAGAGATATGTAAAAGACATTTACATATCTCTGGTCACGCCACTGAATTCATTGCCATATAACCTTAAACAAATCTGTCATAAGGTTGACAAACTGCACGACAAAAACAGGGGGTACCAACTCTCTCAATCAATTCTGATGACCCTGTACATAAGTTTTGAAGTAAAGTAGATGCAAGTTAACAAGGGTCCCTAATACATGAATGACATAATTTGTATTGATTTATCTAAAGAGGCTCATGAAAGTGGAAAAAGGAACAAATTAATATTGAGTACTACGTAGAATTACGATCCCACCCAAGGCCTCAGATTACTAGCCTCGAGAATACTTTTATAGGGTCTCTGAATCAGCTGAAAGCCTGGTACGTCTTTCACGAGATTACGATCATTCTCTAAAGCTTTTGTGATTATGTATGAATAATTTAAATTTGAAAGAAAAAATTCAATAAAAAAATCGTTAAACATAGGCAACCAAATATGCATGTAGTGCCCAAGCCCCAAGGTAGTTCTCCATGTTTTAGTTAGAGAGCGGCTTGGTAGATACAGAGGGTGGCATGGCGGAGCGTCAGTCTGAATGTGTTTTTGTGAATGTAAACACGTGGTAAAAGCTAGTTTAAATTAGTTGGTTTGGTAGTTAATAAAAGGGAGGAAGCCTTTGTTTAACGACAATCCTCGTAACTTCTATAACGACACAGTTTTCCCCAAACCACACGGCTAATTCTTGCGGCCTTTTAATCGGAAAAGAGTGTGGACTTTCGTTCAACGCGGAACACGTGCTGTAAATTTGTTTTATTGTTTGTAAATTCACCAATCAAGTTAGTTTTTCTTAATCGTCAGCTAGTGCAAACACAATTTAACAATCAGGATTATTTAAATAAACCACTTGCTAGAAGATTTCATGAAATTCACTTGGTCAGGATAATAATTCTTTGTTTAACAAATTACGAATAGGTTTCTGGATGCATATACGTAAGTGTTACATTATAATACTTCATAATTCTTCACACTAGATTGCTAATAGTTCATTTACAATTAACAAAATTCATACTGCAAACTGGCGGGGGGTTAAAATAACTTCTTCCCTTGGCCGGTTATCATCATTATCACGATCACATCACTGAGACATGTCCTCACAGCGCGAGAGATTGATTACTTCATCGA